CTTGTTACTGGCTAGGTTCCGCCCATTTGCTCGTTCTACTCTTCGCGTCCCGTCCTCTCGTGTGCGGTCATTGTTCCCGCAGAGGGTCGCCGCGCCATTCTTGCCCGCCACTCCAGGCTCCGCCGCCGCCCGCCCACGGACCGCCCACGCCCGCGCCCTCGCGTCGCCGCCGACAAATGAATGTCCGGTGGCCACGCGGTGATTTGTCAGCTGCGGCGTTTTCCGCCGACAATCGCGACTCCCATCGACCTCTGTCGCTGTGACCCCTCCGCCCCGCAGCGCGTTCGGAATGGACGAAGAAAGACACTCGCCTTTGCGCGGCTTGAAAGGGACAGAGAGAGGAAATGGACACAGAAATGGCGCGATGCTAACTTGGCAGAGGGCGCTGGTGAGTTGGGTGCTAACACGTACTGAAATCATAGCGTCGGGATATTTTATCATTACGTATTTGTTTTATAACATATTTTTAAAACATCGTATATTAAATTATGTATTAAACAACAAAATTGAAAATAAAAATGCACTGTATATATGCAAACAGCGGTGTATGTAAAATACCTGAGAATTATTTTACCATAATTGATGCAAGAAGTGCTAAGTATGAATTTGATTATTTCTAAGAGTTTAAATATTAGTGCTAAAATGATAACTATCTCACTTCAAGTTCACCAAAAGAATTTTATATTAATACCCTAGAAAATGACAGAAACGTTTTATTCGGTTCTTTATTTTACTTATGTGGAATATGTATTTTGTCTTCTTTTCCTGAAACAGCAGTAAATCATGATTTTTTTATTTGAATGTATGCATGAAAACGTCTGGAAGGAAGACACTCTTAATCGCTTGGGTGCTGTGTTTTAATTTGCGCTCACACATGACTTTTAACTCATAGTTACCTCAAGTGACATACTCTATCCCAATTTAAACTCGTTACTCGTTTATTAATTGCTTTAGTCTGATTATATTTTCCACACAAGTTGATTTATTCACTATTGTTCTTGTCATTCCTGAACTACTACATACATATTCATTTGCCAGAGTTCGCATTTGCCAGAGTACCAGATATAACGAATATAAATTCCTTTAGAGGCATATCCCTGACTATACATTAGCAAACAATTTTTTTAGGAATTATCGTGAATCCATTTTTTGGCAAATAAGACATAAATCGTGTTTGATATTCCATTGCGGAATACTGGTAATTGTTACTTTTGCCTTCAACACTACGATTAAAACAGTGTGCCTTCTAATATTAAATTCAGGGCTATACTTCAGTGTAGCTCTGAAGGCAAGATGGCCGAAACGTCAGCACAATTGACCGAGACATGGCTCATCCCAAGAATGTATTGACTCTGTCCGCGGAAGCCTACGAACGCATTCCTTCGCATGGTTTAGGCGCTACTGTTGTTCGCATACACTAGACGAATAGACGTACGCACGGGCGGACGTTTTGAAAAAAAACAAAAAAAACAACCTTTTTTGGTATCAGGGGACCCCAAAAACGTGTATTTCAGTTGCAATCTCGAAACCAGTTTTCCGCAGCATTACACAACTTACCGTATACACGTACGTATACGGAAAGCAAAAATAAACTTTCCAAGCGGGAACATTGAATTTGCGTTAAAATAGTGGTATTAAAAGGTGTTTTTTAGACAGTGATCGTGTGAAATGCTTATTTAATTTTATTTCGTGTTTGTGAACATTGGAATTAAAAATAATATTTATCTAAAAACTTAATGAACATTATTTGTGTAATACTAAGTTATATCTGAAAATTTAAAAAAATAGTTATTTCTATTCTTATGACTAGAGCGGATGGGAGGAATACTTTAATGGAATACTGACTGTATTCTTTACTTCTCCTTCAAGAGAAAATTCATATACTCTTTAAACGGCATGTCTTTTTGTTGCTAGTACCAATAAAACTCTTATAATGCCCTTGATGCATCAATAATCATTAAAATGTATACCACATATTATTGAATTAATTTTACCAAGAATTTATGTATATTATTCATTTACTGAATAGGTAAGAATGAATAAATATTTTTCTTTTTTAAGACACAAAAATGTATTTTCTTCAAAAACAGAAAACTATCAGCTCTTGAAAACTTCACAACTTTTTATATTGTACATTTTGTTGTATTTTGTCTATCTTTTTGGCCAATTTAAAAACTGCAGAATCTTTTTTATTCACCTTTTTGAGTCCTTTTATCTTCTTCTGTCGAATTTGTTTTTTTCTTTTTTAATTTCCCTGAAAGTAATAATTTTATTATTAATAATTAATATTTATTTATCATTACCTTTATACACAGTTAAACAAATAACAATAAAAATAATTGAAAGAAGGAATAGATATGCTGTTACGTAGAAACTGAGTACAGAAACGAGAAATATACTTAATAAAAGAGCAAAATGAGAAAGACGATTTAATGTGAAATACACTATTAGTGATATTATTACTAGATCGTAATATTATAATTATATTGAGTTGCCGTTTCTTTGATCGTGCTAGAAATTACTAAATCAGAAAAACTATTTGGTTCATAGGGACACAATCGATTCTCTATTTATCAACACCCATTTTGACAATGTTTTCTTTGTTGCAAATGTACTGGTACTTAAAACTGAGACTAATTGCCTATTTATTAAAAATCCTTAAGGTTGTAATATAACAATTTTATCTCAAATGTTCTATTAATAGTAATAAGTTATTTAATGAAATATTTTTTGTGTAGTGCGTATTAGTCATACAAATCCAACTTACCTTCGTATGAATCCGAGGATTGTTTCTAATTTTGCAGAGTAGGTATATCCAAAAATGTAATTATGACACCCTGAATAAGGTCTTTACAAAATAGTAGAACTTTTTGTTCCACGATTACAGTTGTTTACTTCGGACATATTATGTAACTTCTGACAGTGTATATATAAATGCGACAATTTTTCAACTAGGTAAAATTTGAAAGCCGTGATTGAAGAAAATTTCATCGTTGGGGCGCCTTACACCTTAAAGTCGTGAATAAGATGTTGTAGAATCTTCAAAAGTTACAGAACCTCTACTCAATGGAAAATTACCATATTCAATCCGATTGCATGAAAATTTCCTCGCACACAATCAATACTAAATTTTGCTCGGTAGATTAGGTCACCAGATATCTTCATATTAGAGAACATTCCTTCCTCCAGAGTATTTCATTTTATTCAGATTGAGCGTTTGGCCGCTCTAATTCTAACCTAGCGCACACATCTCAGACTGAGCTACGAACGCGATGGGCATCCTGTCTTTTTCGCTCGCGAGCCGGGCTTACGTCACGGCTGAAGCGCACGTGGCCCAGAGCGGCCCCCGCCAAGCCACCTGCGCCAGAGAATGTCACGGCGGCGCGGCCCGCAGACCCTTAAATGTCACGAAGAAAGCACAAAGCCCCTCCGCCATTTGGCAGGGATTGCTGCATCGCTAAGCAGGAGAGAAATGTTTCGTGTTGATCTTTCTCACTCCTCGCGCATCGTGATGCGTAGTAGTGGCTGATGTTGCTCAGGACTTCAACCGATGACAGTGTAGTGTCTGTCACCGAGTGAGAGAGAGTTCCGGCGGTGGCAGGATTTTCGACACGAACTACCTAACAAGGACAAATTCAACCAATGTTTGGAGGAGAAGTATAGCGGCTGGCTGCTCTGAACTATAGTTTTTCGTTGTTTCTCCCAACAATACTAGACAAAAGCAGTACTCTAACAAATGGGCCGCGGACTATTCGCGATCTTTTCTTCTTCTTTTCCCCTTCTTTGTCATATCTTCGCCCCTTACTTATTGCACTTACATGCAATAGAGAGAACAGTTGGTAGCTGAGCTTGTCCGTCTAGGATGGTGACCCGCTCGTGGGAGATACGTGGGTAGAGAAAACTCCGTAAGACGACGTGTAAATAGGCGTCAGAATTTGCCATTCAGCAGAGAAAGACAACAGCCACATCCCGAATTAAAAACACGCACTACTCTTACGGGAATGACCATAGCTGTTGCCATGCCTGGAAACCCGAAATAATCAATTGTGGTGCGTGTTTTGTTTGTTGTGTTCGAATGCTTGAGGATGACTCGACTAATACTTAACATATTTTCTTTTGAGTGTATTACTGAATTTAACGTTAACAAATAAATTTAATTTACGTAAAACGAATTCTATGCAAAATGTGGATTCATTGATCAATTTCTATTTCCTACTGTCAGCATCAACACGAGCTTGTGTACGAGACGCTTTTTTTTACAAAATAAGTAATTAATATAAGACATGAAAATAAGTTTGGGACTTTAGATAAATACATTTATATTGATATTTTTCGTAATTTGTGAATTGGGAAAACAATTTTCTAAACAATTCAAATTACAAAAATGTTTTTGAAGGAAGAATAATAACTAAAATCTTGAATAACTAGTCAAATTCGCTCCTTGTAATCAGAAATACATCATCAATAATTCATAAATTACATTCGAAACGAAACGTGCGTCTGTGATTTTGAACATACATTTCTCTGAATTTGAAACTATTTCCACAAATATGAATGCGACGTTCTAAATGTGGGAATATAAAAGAAATAAAAAAATATACCAGATATTTATTCACCTTCCGTAAATGACACGACTTTTTTATTTAACGAGCTGTATAATTCTATGAATCCAGTATTAATGAGGTATCTTCTCGTTTTTTTTAGCTCACTGAAGATTTTCTCCCGGCATACTTCGGGGGGGAACCACAATATATGGAGTAAAATATGTAACAAAATTTCTTAGATATTTGTGTGCAAATTGTATTACAAGTTGAGAAAAAGTAATCTTCCGTCCAAATTCACGTAGGGCTGTAAATGAATGAAACTTAAATCTCATTTGCACGCCAGCAGTTCGGCGCCCTGTAGAAAGCAGCCCGCTGTGTAATAGCGACGAGTGGGTTGCATACTCCAAGGGGCTTCTGAAGTCTGCTGCAATAAATGTTTCTCTCTTTCTCCGACAGATGTCCTGACAGTGCTGTCTACCCGGAGTCAGCGGAATGCTGAAATGTACGCTGAGATCTTAGCAGCATCTTTGAAGCATTAACATCCACAATGCACGTCGAATACGACAAGGTAAGTTCAGAATACGTTACCCTTCGCGACTTTTAACAGATACTTTGAAGTGTATCATGAGAACTTGATCATAATATATTTTTTACCTTAATATATTTTTTTTATTCAAGCGCCTTAACAAACTGCGTAATGCCGGAAATAAAATACGCAAATGCATTATTTTACTTTAAAGTGTAATTTATTTTAAATATATGTGTTATAAAGATGAGTGATATAATAAATTTCTGGCTACATGCGAATACCATATTTAATTAAGTTGTTAAAACCCTATGCACTAGTTATGTAGCTATATACATGATAAACAGAGGGTATAATAATATGATCCAGTGGAAAATATCTTATATTGCTGAGTACAGGATATGTGTTCGTAAATAAAAATCGAAGTATTGCCGTGTGAGCTAGCATCTAACGTACGTGATTCACTGAAGACTGGATGTACTTTTCATCACTTCTTTACATGAAGATAAGGATGATTTTGAAAAAAACGTATACGCCACTTTGAAATAAATGTACATCTGCAAATTCATGATATCAATTTCCTTATACCAGAAAACTCTTTTGTTTCGTCTCTTTTCGTTTTTTGAATTGCTCTTTTCTTTCGTTAAATAATGGACGCATTTGTGACAATTTGTCGGTGGAGAGCACATGGGACGATCGTGTTATAATACCTTACAAAACATCTGTGTTCATCGCATTTGTTGGTGTTTGTTGTGAATATCGTTTGCTCTGGAAATCTGCCGGGCGGTGGCGCGCTCGGTGGCGAGAAAGGAAACTAGTACGGACTCTGAGCAATTTCAATCTTTTTTTCCACAGCGGCGAACTCTTGTTCACTGACAGAACATTCTAGCACAAAAAAATTGGATAAATAGGAAGAAATAACTGTTGAATTGACCAATGTTCAACTTCGTGTGAACTGCATGCACCTTAATCCCATAAGAATTTTTGAATACTAGATTTCATATGAGACTTGCATCTGAATCCCCAATCCAAGATTTATATAAATAATGGTTAACCAGCGTTACAATTTTCCCAAGGGAATTAATAAAAAAGTGTAGAAAATGAAACTTCATTTTACGTTTAAGCACATACATTGTGAGGATAATATTGTCTACAAAATTAATTTACTTCCTCTAGCGGCATTGGAAGCACCGAAGATACACTCCGCTTTATTATCATGAGCAAATAAATAGAACTTGAATAAATTTAATAAGAAAATAAAATAACGATTCTTTATACAAACGCTATTTTAAAACTGGTGTTTGAGTGTAATAAAAAAATGGTTTTTTGAAAATCTAGTACTTTTAACAAATAAGATAAAATCAAGAAATCCAAAAATCTTGTATTTTCCGGTGACAATTATCTCTGAAGGCGTTTAAACTTTTTCCGAAAGGGAGGAGCCACAGAGAACTCAAATATTCCGCTTACTCTCAACAGAAGAGACGTTCTTAATAACGCTTAAATATTACATTTATTTATTCGTTTATTTTAATTTAATCTGCCATAATATTCAACAACACTCCGATGTTAGCCGTGCGTGTACATGGCACCGAACGCCTTTTTCACCTCGTGCCCAAGCGTGCGACAGGTGCGTTGCGTGCAGTCTCCGAGGGGCGGGGTGAGGGGAGGACGGAGATCCGCCTTCGCCGCGTGCTGAGAGTCTGAGCGCACGCGACGAGTTGGAAGTTCCCTCGGCTGCCGCACAGATGGCGCACGTAGAACCACTACTGCCTGGCTCCCGACTTGAACACGGTTCAGTGTAAGCACTGTGCAGGTGAGCTGCTTCAAAATTTGGAATTGTCAGGAACAGTGAAAAAACGGGAGTTTTAATAGCACAATTGAAAAATATTATTTCATTTGTTTGAAAATTAAATTATTTTAAAATATTACATTTATTTGCGAATATTATTTAGATATAATTTAATTATATCATTCCTTACATCGTGTGCAGACCTTGCATTTCTAGTTTTAGCCTTTCACCAGTAGTTCGTAGTTTTCCTAAAAATACATTTAATTTAAATTTTTATACCAAATGACGGTTATACTTTATAACAATTCGGTTGGAAAATCGCAATTTCAGGGTTCTACAACTATGACTTAAGTCATATTTTTAAAGGTACGAATATTATGCTAAAACGACGGTTGACTACAATTCATATATCTGCAATATTATTAATAGGTAATAACAAGATAATTATGTGCTGATAGCTTTTTATATTTCCGATTACAGGATTTGAAAATAATCATGGGACTTGCATCACGATCGGAGGTAGAGTGGTCTTCAGTTGTATTCATGTAACTTGCCCTGTGACAAAGTTACGTCTATCACTAACATCATTAAATATTTATAAATTTTAGATATTAAAATATTGTTATTTTATTCCTATAAAATAGTTGTGAGCTTTAGCATTTATGCTCCTCTTGGCCCTTAGTGTGCTTCTATTATTTGCAAATGAAGTAATATTATTCTATAGTGTCACATTCATCTTGTCGTCCAGTGACATTGATACGAAAGCAATAAAAGTTTGAGGTATTCCATTCTGTGTGTGAATATTTGACATATTACCTTCTAGAACTTGTTATTTCCCGGAAATGAGCATAGATAAAGAGATAAAGAAAAAGTGAAATGGTTGGAACTTTAACACATTTCCCCACTTGAAAAAGAACATATATTGAGCGTAACGAGACAAGTGATATTTTATTTGGAGTTTCTTTAAGAAAGTAGGTCACGTTGAAGGCTACGCTTCTGAATTGTGATGTACCAGCGAGCGCAGTGGAATTAACATTACAGGAAAGGGGAATGTCATGACATGTATTTCTGAGATAACTTGTTAATTAACCGCCAGAATTAGTGAATAAATAAGTAATAATTTCAGTCATATTTGTGTGTCTGGTATGAATACTAGTGGATTAGTTAAATTTGTGAGAAAACATTGTAAGTTAATGCTACTATAAACACAGACTTTTATATAGTTTGCGAAAAATAATATTTTTATTCTGATTCCATTGATAATGAAACTATAGACTACTTTTTAATGTCAGAATAATCGAAGAGGAATAAGTGGTAGGTTAACTCTAAAAATTAGATTCCTCTTTATTAAGGGAAACAAAGGAAATGAAAATTGAAGGAAAAAAATGTTATTCCAGAATTTATTATTTCTGCTTTAGTGTTTTGTTTAACGTGGTTCGTAAGATCAGTGCAGTATGTAAACTGTAAACAATTTGATGAATCAGAGACGAGACACAAGAAGTAAAGAAATGTAAAATGCTATTAGCCTCGGAGCCCCGGGCTCCCGCTCTGGCCCGTGGGTTTGCTTGGCCGCCTCCGGAGCGGTGATCGCCCCTTGACCAGTCGGTCACCACCTGATCCTGTGAAGCGCTCGCCACGCGCTGACGTCAGCGGTTCCGGCGCCGCGCCGCCGGATCCTCCCAGCGCCGCAGGGGCGGCTGCGCTGTGCGTGGGAACGCCGCCGCCCGTCATCCTCCGCCGGACAGTGGTTTGGAGCGACACGTACCGACTGCTTGCTTCTGAGAGAGTAGGAAAAAACTACAAAACGGAGCAATCGAAGAGCGGAAAATGAAGGAAACCTAGGGAAATAGTATGTCGCTTTAAAATGCGTAATTTTGACGTGAGACGGCTACCTAGTAGGAGGAAAAACGTGGTGATACATCATGCCTTCATAAGCTATAGTTGTAACCCGGCGTTCTCCTCGCTTTGCTTTATCTTTATCGTCTGAACAGAAAATAAGGACAGAGTTTTATTCGTAGTGTAAATTTGAGATAATTAAATTTAAAACCACGCAAAGCCGTGCTCTATGCGCATGCTCTATGCCCACTGCATGACGCATCTCTCAGATCCGGCTCATTCCCCTCAACTCCTAGTGGGACCACTCCGCTCCGTTGTGTTGAAATCAGCTCTAGTTTAGCTAATGCAAAATAACTTAATTTATCGCTTCTCTCTTGATTTTCAGCGGATTGCGCCTTTCCACTGAAAATCCGCTGAAATCACGATTGAAACGAGATATTTCTCTCATTTTTATTCAAAAGCCTTTTGACGATGCCACCTATTTTCACGATGCAAGTTTTTTCTTCCGAATTCGCTTCTTTTGGCCCAGTGTTCAGAGGCGCCGCCCTTGTCGCCGACGCCTTTTGTGCAGGGCGTCGCATCCGCTGTCGCCCACAAAGGACGCGGAAGTGGTCGCCCGCCCGATCGGCGCGGCGCGGCGC